CTCCCCAATATCTGTTTTATTTAATAATGGAACAATGTAAGTAATCACTTCAGCCAGGTATCTACAGCAGTGGAGAAAGGTGTGGAGCTAAGCCCCCACGTAGTCATGGTAGCAACAGTGGTTTCTAGCCAGGGACAGACAAACAGTGATGCCCAATGGAGACCAGTGTAAGAACAGGGTTATGGTCCTTTTACTTTTTGCTGTTATTCCCTCCTGAATACCAAGCCCAGGACCCACATTAGCTTGTTCCAGAGTAGTCCCTGAGTTTATCCTTGGATTCGCTTTGATGTCTTCATGGTTAACAGGCTGTTCTCCGATCTGCTGATTTATTTCTTCATAGTAGTATAGCCTTTATTTTTTACTTGATTTGGGGTTTTGTTGTTTGTTTAAGAGCAAAAAGATATGTCTTTTAGACAGTCCAGACTGGTTTAGAACTCACTCTGCATCCCAGGCTAGCCTCAATTTGTAATCCTCCTAAGTGTTGAGAATGACAAGTATCCACCACCCTCGGCTTGCTCCCTTCCTTCTTTCTGTCCTTCCTTTCCTTGAAAGGGGGTGTCACTATATACCCCAGGATGGCCTCAAAGTTGTGATCCATCCAGCCCCAGCCTTTGGAGTGCTGGGATTACAGGAATGCACCACCATACCTGGCTTTATTATTCAGATTTTTGGGTCTAGCAATTCCATTTGTAGTAACACCATTCCCAGTTACACACCCAGATGCATATTTGTGCCAGGATTTTTTTTTGCAGCACTATTTATAATAGAGTAAATTTGGAAACATTTATTCAAATGCCAACTAAAGGTGGAATGATTAAGTGAAGCATGATGGGATGCAACTCAAGTGTTAAAGCCAGTGAGAGGCTTCAGGAGAACCTTGTGGGGATCTTGTAAGTAATCCCTCTAAAATCTGTTACGTGAGACGAAGGCCTGGCTGAGAAGACACATTTCACTAAGGGACAGAAGCTTCAATAAAGGAGCGATACTGCCTTCTCTCTGAATCTATAATAAGATGCAAATAAGTATGCCAACAGGATTATTTTGGAACCTGACAAATTAATTCCAAAAGCATCACAGAGGAAAAACCAATAATAAGAATCAAACAAGGGGTGGGAGGCTGGCTGAGTCAGTAAAGTGCTTGCTGCACAAGCAAGAAGGCATGGCGCATACACCTGTCACCTCAGCACGGGGACACACAGATGTGCAGGTCCCTGAAGCTTGTTGGCCAGCTAGTCTAGACAATTTGCTAGCTCCAAGATCACCGAGAGTCCCTGTCTCAAAAACAAGATAGAAAATCAACTGAGGAAGATTATCACAGTCACCTCTGGCCTCCAAACCCGCCTTCACAGGGATGTGCAATTGTATACACACCTGTGCGCTCGAGGGTGTAAACACACACACACACACACACACACACACACACACTAGTAAGGTAGAGAGTAATCTAACAGCTAATGTCAATCTCTTGTCGCCACAGGTGTACACATACACTAACACACACACACACACACACACACACACAATAATCATGGAGGAAAACTAAAATCAGTATTAAGAATAGAGAAGAAGGAGTATGAGAAAGAGGGAGGGGTGGTGGAGGGGAAGGAAGGAAAGGAGGGATGGAGGGAGGGAAGAAGGGAGGAAAAAGAATTAGAGACACAGAAAGGTCTGGGGGAATTATTGTTTAAGATAGGGTTTCTCAGTGTAGCCCAGGCTTGCCTCAAATTCCAGATTGAAAGTTCTTGGTGAGTGGAACAGACAAGTGAGTCTGAAATGAACCTGGATATGAAAATCCTTTATTAACAATGCAAGCAGGATTTACTTACAGCAGTGCAGGGGAGATGGGTTGCTTGGTAGACTGTCTGACTGGCTAGTCCTCTGAGAAGACATTCAGTTGGAGCCCCACCGTAACCCTACACTAAGACAAACACCATCTGGTTAAATTATGCTACACACAGGCAATAAAATACCACCCAACAGAAGCAGATGGAATAAAGAAAAAAAGCTAGCCCCTTTAGCCCATTCAAAGATAAAGATGAGCAAGCCAAAGTTCAAGCAATTGTCTTGGCAGTGTCGGGGCCTTGAATGCTGTCATAGCTACTTGTCTCATTCCTAGGACAAAATACCCAACAAAAGCAACTTACGGAAGTATTCATTTTGGTTTACAGTTCCAGGAGGGAACAGTCTGACAATGGTGGGGAAGCCAGGATGGTGGGAAGCTGAGGCAACTGGTCACACTGTGTCCACAGTCAGGAAGCAGAGAGGGAGGAAGGCTGGGGTTCAGTTTGCTCTCTAAGACCCGTGGATTGGTGTCACCCACATTTAGGGTGGATTTCCCACTTTCCTTTACCTAGTCTAGATAATCCTTCATGGACATGGCCCAAGACTTATTTCCATAGTGACCTTAAGTCTCATCAAGGTGAACGTCAAAATTATCGCCATGGGTTGAGGGGACAGCTCGGTGGAGAGTGCTTGAAGTGCTAGCATGACGACCAGAGTTTGGATCCCCAGAGCCCACATACGAAGCTGGGCAGATGTGGGGCTCAGCTGCAATTCCAGTGCTCAGGTGGCAGAGATGGGGTTTCCTAGAGCAAGTAGCTAACTGGACTAGCCAAGTCGGTGAGCTCCAAGATCAGTGAGAGATTTTCCCTCAGTAGATGAGTGTCAACCTCCATCCTCCACACACATGCAAACTCTCTCTCTCTCTGTCTCTTTCTCTCTCTGTCTCTCTGTCTCTCTCTCTCTCAGTACCACTAAGCGACACCCAGTCCAACATGGATGAAGACTCTTACAAGACACAGATGCATTATTAGTATCATTCTTTAATTTGAATCTTAGATGTCCCCAAAGGATATGTAAGAGCTGTGATCCCCAGCTTCATGTTACTGGGAGGTCGTCAAAACTTTAGGCGATGTGACCTATTGGGAAGGCAAAGGTCATTGAGGTGTGCCCTTAAAGGGAGCAGGGAAACCGCAGCCCCTCCTCTCTTATCTTCGCTTTCTCTGGGCATCTGTGACATCCCTGCGTCCCTGGCAGCATTTCCCATGTCCCCGTGTGCTGCTTTTCCCATGTCCCCGTGTGCTGCATTTCCCATGTCCCCGTGTGCTGCATTTCCCATGTCCCCGTGTGCTGCATTTCCCATGTCCCCGTGTGCTGCTTTTCCCATGTCCCCGTGTGCTGCATTTCCCATGTCCCCGTGTGCTGCTTTTCCCATGTCCCCGTGTGCTGCTTTACTACAGACCATACACTGAAAATTGCAAAGTTGTGAGCCAAATAAGGCTTTAGGGATCTGCATCATAAGCTGGCATCAAACTAGTTATACAACCTAGGATGACCTTGAACTCCTGGCCCTCTGGAGTGTACCTTCTAAGTGCTGAAATTACAAGCACACAGCACACTATCCAGCTCGAAACTAGATTTTGTTTTTACATTTTATTATCATTGTGTACGTGTGTGTTCATCATGCCTTACGTGTGTAAGTCAGAGGACAACTCGGTGGCGCTCTCATGCCACCTTTATGTGGGTTTGAGGGATCGAACATAGGTTGTATGGCTTCTTCCCAGGTAAGTACCTTTACCCACTGAGCCGTCTTTTTTTTTTTTTTTTTTAATGGAGACAGGGTTTCTCTGTTTAGCCCTGGTTATCCTGGAACTCTCTCTCTGTAGACCAGGCTGGCTTTAAACTCACAGAGATCCGCCTGCCTCTGCTTCCCAAGTTCTGGGATTAAAGGCTTGTGTCATCACCGTGCGGCTGAAACTGGTATTTTTGAAGAGAAGATACATCATGCGTTCATATTGGTATCTGCAATTCTAATTTAGAGGAACCCAAGTTTCTTTCATTTGATTTTATATTTTTACATCCTGTCATGCTGAAGTATTTGGCTCCTAACATTAGAGTATTTGTTTGAATATAGACATATATTGATCCTCAGAATAACCATATTGTGCTATTATTAACATAATTATGAAAAGATCCCTTTGCCATTTCTTTGTTTTAGAACACATCCCACTAAAGATACACATTCAACAATTTTTTTCCTCAACAACTGTGAAAATCAAGTGACTCCTTAAAGTCATTTAAAATAATCCCGTCTGTGTAAGCCACCGGTTACGTACTTGGGCTGCCTGGCTTCTGCCTGGCTTCACTTTTGATTTATGGATTGTACACTTATTTGGGTCAGTTCGTCACAACACATGACTTCCAACTCAAATACACAAAGCCTATGTAGGTTTGTTTGGTTTTCGAGGCTGGGGATGGAACTCCAAATCTTGCACATATGGGGCAAGGGCTACATTCCTGAGAAGAACTAAACTAGCAGCCTGAAGCACGGATTCTTTTGCTTTGGTTTTTAAGACAGGACCTTGCTATGTCGCTGGGCTGGCCTCTTAGTCAATGGATCCTTCAGTCTCCTGGGTGTGATTACAGGCATGTGTTGTCACACCTAGCACCAGAATGTATCAATTTAAAATGAGACCTAAGAAGCTGGAAGCTGTTAATAAAAGTGCGGGCCGCTCTTGCAGAGGGCCAAAGACTGGCTCCCAGTACACACATAGGGCTCACAACCACCTGTAACTACCGTCCAGGGGATCGGACATCATCTTATAGCCCCTGCAGGCTTCTGCATGCATAAGGTGCACATAAACTCACGATGGTACATACACATAAAGTGCATGTTTAAAAAGAGACAAACTGGACACGGTGTCATACACTTGTAGTCCTAGCACTTGGGAGGTAGAGGCAGGGGAATCAGGAGTTCAAGGTCATCCTCTGCCAACTGCCATCTATCTCAAAGACCAAAATTAGGATAAAATGAAATAGGGGGTCTCAGAGTGTTTTATAATTTTAGTTATTTCTTTAAGACAGAGTCTAGCTAATATGTAGCCCAGAATAGCCTGGGATTTGTGATCCTCCTGCTTCAGTCAGCCAAGAGTTGGGAATGTGGGTGTGTGAGACCACGTCCAGCTCCCAGAAGAAAATGAAAACTCACAAAGTTCTTCAAGTGCAGTCACATACACCTTCATTTCTAAAAGCAGAGGTACACACAGGGAGGTTATTACCAGGGTCGCCAAGCCAGTGATGATCTAAGTGGGTGCTTTCCTTTTATGGAGAGGGAGTCTCAGGCTGGCCTCAAGCTATGTATCATGAATGACTCTCCTGCCTCCTCCTCCCAAGTGCTGGGATTATGAAACCACGCCACTGGTGATCAGATCCAGGGCTTTGCACATGCTAGGCATCATTCTACTGAAACATATACAGCCTCAGCCCCAAAGCTCTTTAAAAACAACAACCGGAACATGGTTGGCACAGAAACCTGGATGGCTTATATGGAATTTTTTTTCACATAGCAGTTCAAACAGACTAAAACAAAGATGAGAATCACATCTTTCCACACAAGAGCTCACCCTGGAGCTAAGGGCAAAGTTGGATTTCGAGCCATCTCCACTTACGGCTTCATCACAACAGGCTCTTGGAACCAGCTTCAACATGCTCTCGGAAGCTTTTCCAAGCTGGGAGAAGGGGAACATCTCTCCCCTGCTAATCAGTAGGCTCTGTTTTCGGAAGGCCACAAGCAAGACTCCCACAGGAAGCACAGAGCACAAAGGACAGGCTGGGAGCGAAGACTGCAGATGGAGAGCAGCAACTTAACTGTTCAGAATCCTGTTTTGACTTCTGTCTTCCTCCTGACAGGGTCTTGTCTAGCCTCTTACTCTCCCATATAGCTGAGGCTGTCCTTGAATTCTTACCTTCCTGGGCCTCCATCTCCCAAGTACTGGGATTACAAGCTCGAGCTACCACACCTACTTGAAATTCTCCTTGAAGAATCTGTCACCTCGATGCCAAAACACTCCCTGTCCCAGGATACACCTGTGCTCTTGGGCTCCTCACCCAGCGCTCCTGGGGAAGGTTTTTCAAATTTAGTCCTTTTCCAAGTTGTGCATGGTGGTGCCGCCACCGCAAAGTCCAGCACTGAGGCTGGGATGAGAGGGACTAGGGTCTGAAGTCAGTCTGGGCTAGGTATCAAGACCCCACAAAACAAGAGACGGGTGGGTGGTGAATGTGGTAGGAGCTCCCGAGAGTCCCTGGGGTCTGAGTCAGCACCATCTTGGTTTCAGAGTACACTATGCCTTTACAAATAATTTGGTTCTTTTCCAAAATCAGCTCTGAGAGCCTACACAGTTGCACCTGTGTCACTGTGTCTCCTCAGAAAGCCACCAGGTGTCACCACACGTCTACAATCCCAGCATCCTGGAAGTAGAGGCAGGACTGTCACAAGCTTTAGGCCAGCCAGTCAGGTCTACATAGGGAGTTCTAGGACAGCCAATGACTGACAGACCAGTCCAAAAAAAAAAAAAAAAAAAAAAAAAAAAGAGAGACTACAGACAGACAACGGCTGTTCAGGATGCCTTGTCACCTGTGACATCACAAACCCAAGGGCATTACAGCATCATGCTGGGTGAAACAGGACTCTTACAAGATAAGCACCACATGATCCGCGCTACTTTTACAGGGTACCTAGGACAGTCAGGATGACAAAAGCGTCTTGCTCTGTTACATCTTCTTACATGGCTTAACTACTTCCCACTTGGTCTCCTGTACTTGTTTCCAAAGCTGCTGTGACGGATTATCAAGGGGAGAAGGAACAGAGCAAGACGCTTCTTCTTTCGAAGCTCTGAAGGCCAAGGTCCTAACACCCTGTGCACTACATGAGATATGGGGAAACGCCACTGCTTAGAAGGGTCCAGCTAGGGCTTAAAGCCCATAGTACATAGTGAACACTCGTATGAAGAAAGGTTTAGGAAATCACAGGTAGCAAACTCCTGGCTAGCTCTGGGACCGGGCAGGATTCCCTAAGGGCCATATGAAGTTCAAAAGGTTATGCTTCACAGGCATGGAGAGCTCCAGGCTTAGCCCCTTGACCCATCCCTTCCCTCAGCTCCTGATCTCCTCCTCCTGTCTGTGTCCATGACTACCTAAAACATGGGCAATCCAGCTTCCTGGGTTTCACTGCGTCATGGGACAGGTCCACCTGTCCAGGACCCTTCACCACCTGTCTGACCTCCAAGCAGTCTCGTGACCCTACGCCTGCTTCTCAGGTTGTTTAAATTGCAGACTGAAGAAGATGACTGAGATGGCCACTGCTTAGCTCCGTCTCTTGCCCTGGATGGTGCTGTGAAGGTTGGTCCAGACTCTTCCTGCCAGCCCATCAGCCCATGGCCCACCAGGTACAGCCGAAGACTTAACAGGAAATGCCTTAGGAACTGGTTGGCAGCCAGGGTCTTCTAACCCCCCTGCCTGCCCCACACCGCCCCTTCTGGTCCTCAGTTTCTCAGCCCCTAGGAACGGGCGATACAGATTCAGGGGAAATGAGCAAACAGATTGTGTGGTGAATACATTGCAGAAGCGTGCTGAGCTTCCCTGGATCTAGACATTCAGATTCCGCACTGCCGTCAGCAGCTCTACCTGGGGCTGCCCCACTCAGTTCTTGGGTGTGTCTGCGAGTGAAAACTCCTGCCAAGAACCCATAAAAAAGGGTGTTTAGTAGAGTGTGTGGTGCATCCCAGGAAGGCTGAGGCAGGAAGACCGAGTGTGAAACCCACCTGAGTGAGAGCCTGAGTTCTACGCAACAAAAGGGGGAAGGTGGTGCCCGCTGTTCAAGACGATACTGTAGAGGAATGGGGAGGTGGCACTCGGTACAATGGAAAGTCCTTGGGATGAGCCCTCCTCCATCAGTCCCTCAGAGTGGCATGCAGAGGGCATGGCACCAACAAACCCACAACACAGAAGAAAAAATAAATTTCTGGCAAGGCCTCAGTGTGGGAAAGTTCCCAGCAAGAGAAACAGTTAAAAGGCTGGGCACAAGCACCACTGTTCCTTCAGGACACACACCAGGCAGAGAACACACCAGGCAGAGAACACACCAGGCAGAGAACGGGGTGAGGTGGGATGGGCTCTTTCTGCTCCTGAGACTCAGTGGATGGCCTCTTCCACAACTTCACCGCCACCGCCTGAACACCTTCCAGGCAGCCACAGGACCGAGACACATGCAGAAGAATAAACACTACACGACAACGTCAGAGCGTTTTTAGAAAACAACAAAGGCTTCCAAGTGCAAAGAGAAACACCTCTTGCCTGTCCACTTCTAGTCTCCACCCGGCTTCTCTCACTGTGAGGAAAGCAGCGTCATAGCTCTCCCGTGGTTCTCCATGCCAGAGGCCACTCTGTCCTCCACTGAGGCAGATCACCTGCTGTCCTCTGCTGTTTTCCCAGGAGAAATCTAGTCAGTAGCCAAACAAAGCTGGTGGAGCCGGGCCTCGAGGTGGGGCTCCGTCCTCGTCCCAAACACTGTCTATGTCACGGGTGGAGCAGTCCCTCTGCTAGGCCTGCTCGCCAGCTCCACTTCCACTGGCCCCGGAGCCTCTCCCGGAAGTCTGGGTCTCTGAGGCACGTGAGGCCTGCTTGGGCAGGCGGATGGGGACATAGGTGTTGGAGGCACAATGCTCCTTGAGGTACTCGCCACCCTTCTCTTCATAGTCCTTCCTGGTGACCCAGGCTCCACTGTCTTCTAGGTGATCCAAGGCCCAGTCACGAGCACCATACCAGGCATCCAGCACAGGGTTTGAGGCGAGCTGAACCTAGAACACGAAGCAGATGCACTCTGAGAAGGTATCTCCTACCAGAGCTCTAGGCCCAGGGAGGAAGGTTCCGCATCTTCAGACATACAGAAGGGCCCGCCCGGGTGGTGCCTCCCCTGTGCAGAACAGCCCTGCCCCCTCCAGACAAAGCTAAGCCTCACCTCACACACAACCTCTCGGAAACAGCACAGTTGCCCAACTAAGGCATGCCATTCCAGGCTAGAGGGAACAGCCACCAGGCCCCTGCTCTATGGTGCTGACAATCACGAACTACCACAAGGAGATGGGTGATCTGGAGGTCACTGAGCAGGGCAGCCATGGCCATGGCAGCAAGAGACCTTGGGAGAAACTACAGCAGAACAAGGTGACCAGGCATTCTGTGACACTGCCACTGCTCACAGGCAGGGCAAGGCTGGAGTCAGCAGTCACCCGAGGCCCTCAACTAGCCTGACCCAGTCAGCGCGGGAAAGCCCTGGCTTTGAGCCCTCTCCTATTTAGAGTCTTTGCCTTTACCTTATTCCCACCTCACTTCCTCTGCCAACCACAGCTCTAAGCGTGGCGGGTGGCTTTGGGGTTTCTGGAAATAAAGTTCAGGCCACACAAAGCAGCACGGGCGGGCACAGGCTGTGGACAACAGAGGCAGCGTAAGTGCAAGCCTTGGTGGAGAGGCACATCTGGGAAATGAAGGATGATGAGCTCCATGCCAACCCAGGCAAAGAGCAAGACCCAATCTCAAAGACAGAAGAGAGGGAAGGAAGAAAAGGAGAAGAGGGGGAGGAGGAAGAAAGAGAAAAACAAAATTAAGTGCCAGCGTGGGCATGAGACTGCCCGGGCTGCCACACAGCATGGACCTGTGCAAAGGAGCCTTCAAATTTGATGAGACACACGAGAGCCCTGCTCTGGCTTGGAAAAGTTGGCAAGCACAGGCCTGGCATTCTGCCTGACACAGAGTGGTAAGTGGCAGCTACTGTGACTAACAAAAACCACAGTGACACCTGTGGTCACAAAAGAGTGTACACGGCTATGAAAACAATGCTTTGGAAAGGTATAAACTGATACACTGTCACAATAATCTGAAAGTGAAAAAAAGCCATGAAACAAGCTATCAATAATCTTCCTGTGTGGTTAAAATTATAAACATGACAAGAATATGTCCTGAAAATAGACAAATAAAAAATGTTGGTCACAAACACTACTGAATCCACAATTTGACTTGGTTAAAGATTTATTTATTGTTCCCAGGCATCAGCCTGGGAATCCAGCATGGGACTGATCAAGACCCCCTGAATCTGGGTGTCAGTGAGGAGGCCTAGGTAATCTATTGAGCCTTGGACAGCAGATCAGTACCCATCCCAAGTATACACACGGTCTCTGGACTCCCATAGAACAATGTGAGGTGCACTCTTACCCTGATCTCTTGGGGAAGGGTCTAGGCCCTGCCCTATATGAAATGACAGACTATGGACACCCCCATGGAGGGCCTCACCCTCCCTGGGGGAATGAGGGGATAACGGGGGGGGAGGGATGGGGGGAGGGCACGGGAGGAGGGGAGGGAAAGGGAGAGGGACCTCGTACTGATTTGTGAAGCAACCTTGTTTCTTATCTAAATTTAAAATGGAAAATAAAAAAAAATATTAATAAAAAAAACTGATAAAAAAAAGGAAAAAAAAAGATTTATTTATTGCATGTGTGTCTGTAACATGTACATATCTGGTGTCCATGGAGGCCAGAAGAGGCACTGGATTCCCAGGAACTTGACCTACAGAACTTGAGAGCTGTTACGTGGGTGCTAGGAATCAAACCCAGGTTCTCTACAAGAGCAGAAAGTTCTCTTAAGCACTGAGACATCTCTCTAGTCTCCACAATCTACTTTCTCTTCTCTTTTCTTATAGGGTTTATCTGTGTAACCGCTTTGGCTGTCCTGGAACTCGCTCTATAGACCAGGTTGACCTCGAACTCACAGAGATCTGCCTGCCTCTGCCTCCTGAGTGTTGGAATTAAAGATGTGTACCACCACCTCCCAGCCTCTGATTTCTATTTTTATGTTGGCTCATTTAAATTGTCTAGCACTTAGCAATGCTTTAAATGATTTGAAAACACAACTGGGGCATGGCTGACTGGCAATGTCTGAACAGCATGCAAGTATCTCTGGGCTCCACCACCTGCGCCACAAAAATAACCAATACTATAAAAACAAGCATACTTAAGCCTGAGCTCAGAGCCTCGGGTATCCAGACAAATGTTCCACACTGAGATCACCCTAGTCCTAGAAAGTCAATGTTGTAGACTAAGTGTAAACCAACCGGAAGTGAGCCACTGCTGTATCCAGTTGTGGACCTGGAACTGAGGGGCTGCTGTTGTGGTGTGCATTGCCCTCCCCACCAAAAGTGAAGCAGGAAGGCGGCGGCGGGGGACATGGGAGGCAGCACTCTTACAACTGGGTCTCTCAGTCATCAGGGGAGGCTTCGGGACTGTCAGGCTAGAGATTCTGAACATTCCAAAAGCCTTTTACCCACATCATCCTCCCCAGCCACCCTGCCCCTCAGTCAAGCACAGGTTCACTGTGAAATGCTCTGTGACGTCAGCACTGCTGCCTCTTTCCTCTACTCCACCTCGACGTCCCCAGCTCCCAGATGCCCTTAAATGCTGTTACTTATGGCCTGATCTTTGGTGCTACCTCCTCTTCCAGTGGTAGCCCTGAGAGCCTCTGATGCCACCTCTTACCTTTTCCCTAAGTGTTAGCCAAAGGGACAATTCGTTTTCCCACTACTATCTTCCTAAAATGTAAATTAATCACATGACTCCCCAGCTCAGGCCAGGCTCCTTCTTGTTCCCCCATGACCTCAAAAAACAGGTATACAGAGAAGAGGCAACCAAGCACTCACCTGGTACCCCAGAAAAACAAGACCCTGCCCGAGATAAGGAAACAATCAGACATGTGCTTCCCTGGGGAAAACTATGGCTGCTCTCCCTGCAGCTGGTGAGAATCCTCTTATCTGAGGACCCTCTTTCGACTTCAGTAAATGCTCAATCCTGTCACTTAAATAGAAAAACAGAGCGATATGCCAGCAGGATTCCCATCCTGTATCAGCTGAATGTGGCTTAAAGGCAAGGCTAGCCACTGACCCTCTGCAGTGGGTGACAGAACTGAAGATTCCCGTCATTCCCACCTGCACTTTGCCAGTCACACCCATCAGTCAGTGCCTGGATGCTAATCACAAACAGTGGGCCGGAAGGGCAGTCAGTGCCTGCATGCTAATCACCAACAGTGGGCCGGAAGGGCAGTCAGTGCCTGGATGCTAATCACAAACAGTGGGCCGGAAGGGCAGTCAGTGCCTGCATGCTAATCACCAACAGTGGGCCGGAAGGGCAGTCACTACCTGGAAGGTTGACTGAAAGGGCCTCATCTCCAGCAGCTCCTTCTCCACTCTGGCCTTCATGCCCGGATACATCACGTTCCCACCAGTGAGGAACACGTTCTGGACCAGGGTATCCTGAACCGCCTTTGGGTACCTAGGAGACAGAAAAGGGATGCTCCAACTTGGCTGCTGGAACAAGCACACTGTAGACAGATCAGGAAAGGCAAGCTCCTGGTACAACAGTCAACTCTCAGAGTCTACCGACAAATGAAAAATAAACAAGGCTGGTGCTTAGCTTTTCATTCACAGCTCTACAATATGCAATCCAAAGATCAGACTGTTTCTGCCTTTTAATACTTTTTAAATGCTTCTGCCTTCGTAACTTATTCTATTCTTTTTTTTTTGTTTTTGTTTTTGTTTTTTTTTTTTTTGTTTTTTTACGAGACAGGGTTTCTCTGTATTGTTTTGGAGGCTATCGGTCCAGCCCGGCCTCGAACTCACAGAGATCCGCCTGCCTCTGCCTCCCAAGTGCTGGGATTAAAGGCGTGCGCCACCACTACCCGGCTCCACTTATTCTATTCTTGAGGATCACTTTATTAAAGTTGGAAGAAAAAAAAACCGCACAGGGCAGGCGAGCTGTAACCCAGAAGCTTCTTGTAGAAGGGAGATAGAGGGGAGGGAGAAAGTCATGCCGTCATGCCTCCTGAGACAGCCAGCTGTAGAAAGCAGGCACATGACTTTAGTGACAACAGTGAGAAAGCCTCCATGGTAGATCACAACCCTTGTAGCTCTTTCCAGGGGATCCAGTGTCCTCTTCTAAGTTTCAAGGCACTAGGCACATGCACAGTCTACATACACACACACAGGCAAAATACACTCACACACACACACACACACACACACACACATTTTTTCCAAGAGTACACACTGCTTTTGCAGAGGTCCCTGCACTCATGTACACATAATCCCCCATAATTAAAAATTAAATTAAATTTAAAAACCCCTAGTGTTAACTGGGTATGGTAGTGTACTCTTATGATCCCAGTTTCTCAGGACACTCCAAGGCCACTGAGTACATAAGGAGACCCTATCTCATGAATCCATAAGAAAAACATCACTGGTGTTTAGCACAACGAATCCATAAGTAAAACATACTGGTGTTTAGCAATGTCAAGTTTCACATGAAAGTCGGGGCATACTGCCTCTGTTGCTCAGACTCCAAGGTTAAGTTTGCAGAGCTCACAAACAAATGGAGCTCACTTGCACCTGTCCTTCCTGCATGCCTAGGTCAGAGAGCAGACTACTTGAGTAGAGACAGCAACAGAGAGCACTGCAGACCTCCCCACGCCCACTGGACATCTTTCCCATGCAAAAGCCAGGAAGAGGCTCAGGTGAGGACAGGGCGGTATCACCGGCTCACCTGTCCAGGACGTAATGAAGGGTCTCTGCAATCCCCGCCTGCTCCTCTCCTATGAGAGACGGCTGGAAAATAATCTCCGGGGCACGAATCCTTTCTGTCCCAACAAACAGCTGATGATACGCTGCCAAGTTAAACACGGGCTTCAAACCCAAGGTTTAAAAGATGTTTTTAGGCCATAAATGACAATTCCCTCAGCTATCAGTTCTCTGAAATCACATCTCCTCTAGCCCAGCTTCCCTGTCCAGGCGAGAACCACGTGTGTCCCCCCCCCCCCAACTCTCTTCACTACAAGACTCTGCCTCCTATCTTAGCTCAAGCCCAGAATGACAAATGTCTATACACTGTGCCACGCCCACGTTGCAGGACTCTAGAGAGCGGCAGTGAAGAGGCCCAGGGGGAGATCTTGTCTCTGCCCATGCTGGGTTAGCACCTCCTCCACCAAAGGCTCAGGTACAGGCAGTTTATCTGGCTGCCACTATCATGACAAGAAGCACAGACCCCAGTAAGGAAGATGACATCGGCTAAAATGTAAAGGACACCATTGAGAGCCAGTCTGCAGGTCTGGAGACCTCAGTCACTAGACAGACCTCTGTTACCAGCCGCTCACATTCAGGGTAGTCCTGGCACCTCAAACAACTACCCGGGAGAGCCTCTGACTGACAATGAGAGCACTGGTGTCCTTGCTGAGGCACAACTTAGGTCTCCAATGCTCCCAGAGAAGCAGACTGGGCCAGCCACTTATGCCAACAGCTTCAAAATATATGTGTGGTCTTGGCAGTAGTCAAACCTGGACTGTGGTGGCTGGCTTCTCCACTTCGGGTGCTTCCTCTGAGAACAAGGGCTCGAAATCATTTATACTCTCCACATCCTCCAGGGAGGGCTCCAGTTGTTCCAGGTCAGGGGTCTGAGAAGAGAAGAAAGCAATTATCAAAACAGCAGAGAAACTGGTTGCCAACAAAGCTCAGCTCTGATTCCATCCTGAAAATGGACAGGGTCTCACCCAGTGTTCCAAACACCTGTCCAAAAACTAAACACTCTTAGAGGAAGTCCACACGGGACAGATGGACACGGACACACATACACACACACACACACACACACACACACACACACACACACACACACACACACACACAGAGGAGTTAACACTAAAAGATGACCAGCAAGATGGCTCAGAGGTTAACCATGCTTGCCACAAAACTGACAACCTGAGTTCAATCCCTGAAACCTACAAGGAGGAAGGAGAAAATTAACTCTCAGAAATTGTTCGCTGACCTTCATGCTTGTGTGCTATAGCACACATACTCACATACACAACTTAAAAACAGCCACAGCTGTAGAGTGAGGCCCTGTCTCAAGAAGAGAGAAAGAGGAGAGAGAGAGAAGGAGAGGGAGTAAAGGAGAGAGAGAGAGGAGAGGAAGAGAGATGGAGGGAGAGGGAGAGAGAGGGAAGGAGAGGGAGGGAGAGGGAGAAAGAGAGAGAGAGAGGGAGGAAGAGAGAGAGGGAGACAGAATGTGAGTGTGTGAGTGTGTGAGTGTGTGTGTGTGTGTGTGTGTGTGTGTGTGTGTGTGTGCGCGCGCTAACAAAATCCAAAGTCTAGTCCTTGCAGCATCCTTACAAGATTTTAATTCAGCATTTCAGGGACCACAATGGGTTGCTCTGTAGGAAAAAAATGGACACTAGCAAACGCTGGTTGGAACTCCCAGCTGCATTACCAATTCAGCCTTTACTCCATTGGTTTCAATATACATTCTGGAGTGCTCACAACTATTCCTTTCATTCTAACTGAATTACACTGGTGGGAAATACTAAAAGGTAGAACAGGTGAGGCAATGCTGTGGCCAAACTTATCCCCGGAAGGATAACTGTAATTCACTCTACTCTCCAACCCTGCAGACTGACTGTTAAGAGATGTGGTGACAAATTGGTGCATCTGTTGTGAGACAACCTGTAAGGATACAAGGTAAATAAAGATGTGTCAGTTTCACCTCATTTGCCTAAGGCACCTTCTGATTGATTTAATAAAGAGCAAAACAGCCAATAGCTGGACGGGAGAGAACAGGCAGGACTTCCAGGTAGAGACAGGAACTCTGGGAAGAATCTGGGAGGCAAGGAATTTGCCAGCGAGACTTGGAGGAAGTTGGACATTCAGTACTGAGTAGAAGCAATGAACCATGTGGCAGAATGTAGATTACCATAAACAGGTTAATTAAAATGTTAAGACCTAGTAGGGGGACAAGCCTAAGCTAAGACCAAGCTTTCATAATTAGTAAGAAGTCTCTATGTCATTACTTAGGAGCTGGCAGTGCAAAGAAAGACCCACTATATGCATCAAGTTTGCTAGAGAGCAGTGTGTGTGTGTGTGTGTGTGTGTGTGTGCGTGCGCGCGCGTGCGCGCGCGCATGCAGGTCACTGTACACACATGTGCCCAATGAGAGATTGAAGTCTGGTATCTTCTACTGCTCTCCTTCCTACTTTTTAGGAAAATGCATGTGTCTATGTCTGTGTGAGGCTGTGTGCATGTGTGTGCAGGTGCCCAAGGAGCCCAGAGGCATCTGATTTCTGGGAGCTGAAGATACTGGTGGTTATGAGCCACCTGATGTAGATAGTGAACACAGAACGCAAGTCCTCTGAAAGAGTAGTATATGCTCTTAGTAGCTGACCCATCTCTCCGGCCATTCACCATACTTTTTGACAGCCTTTCCCTGAACCTGATGCTCCATGGTTTGGCTAGACTGGCTGGCCAGTGAGCTCTGGGGATCCTTCTGTCTTTGCCACACTATGGCTAGGATTACAGGCACACTCCACCATGCCCAGCCTGAGTACTGGGGATCCAAACTCAGTCCTCATGCTTGAGGGAACAATGCCATCTCCCCAGGTCCCTAAAACAAGCTCCCTAAGCCTACAAAGACTGTTGTACATCCCCAAAGCACGGACAACGTATAGGAGTACCGTGACAAGATGGGGGAATGCTGACAGCATGGTAAATAAAATATGCAGGAAAAGAAACACAGGGAAGCAGGTCCCCAGCTGCCCGGGATCCCACTTTCAGCTGCTTGTTTTCCCTTTGTATCTAAAACCCCTTGCCTGCATCTGACCCTGTGGTACTTCCATGTCTTACTAATGTGTTAATGAATGAACAAACCACAGACAGCATGGTTTTACATTCCAGAAAGCCAGCTGGATTTGAGTCAGGATGGAGCATGCTCTTACGTCACTGAGGAGCACTACCCTGTACCCAGCATCAAATGACAGCAACCCTGACTTTTCCATAGCACCGTATCTTTCTAAAAACACCAATAACCAAGGGTTTTAAAGCAAGCTGCCTTGATGCCTGGAGCGGTGGCCTGACTGATAGAGTGCTTGCCTAACACTCATGAAACAGATTCGATTCCTAACACCACATCAGCTGGACATGGTGGCAGCACACACTTATAATCCCAGCACTGCAGAGGCAGAATTAGGAGGACCAGAAGTTCATGGTCATTCGTGACTACATACTGGGTTCGAGGCCAGCCTAGGCTGCTATATGAAAACCCTGTCTCAAAAAGAGAAAGTTGAAGGCTACAAAGACTCAGGGAGTAAAGGCACTTGTCCCCAAGGCTAAGGACCCGAGAAGATTCCCTCCCCAGGTCCCAGTCACCTCTGGCTTGCTGTCGACCACATCCACCTCAAGGTTGGCTTCCGCTTGAAGGATTTTCTGCTTGGCCAGCTCCACAGCCAAGGTGAGCTTCTGGATGTAGGACTGCAGTTCTTCTGGGGAGTCCATGTTCAGCTCTATCAGGGCTTTGTGAAACTGGTCCATCTGGCCATCCTCTAGGAGCTCCTGAAACCAGAGCAGGCACAGTCTACTCCCAGAGACAGGCGGTACAGTCATCAACTTGGGGAAAGTAGCTCAGAAGCCAGCAGAAACAGGTGGAGTGAGGAGTGAGGGGTGTGTGTGTTCCTGGGGGCTCCCTAGCTAACCCCCAGCAGAACCACCTCTCAGTTTCCACCACAGGCTCATACCTGCCCTCTTCTCCCACTGTCTGGGCTAGCTAGCATTGCATACTGGATACTGGTTTCAGCACCATCTAATTAGTGAAAACTAATCTGTGGTGACAGACATCACGGATGCCACAACCTTTGAGTGGAAAGGAGTCACTGAGAGAAGATAATAGTAATACTGCTCCTAGATGTGACAGCAGGGACATGTACATGTGTCACTTTGTGAATCTCACTGAGATGCCCACCCTAAGATCTGTGTACCATGCATGCTGTTCTTACATAGAAAAGTTCAAAAGAACAAAACGAATCAGTAAGTAGAGCTGGAGTCCTCAGCTCTGTACAGACGCCTGCTGCCGTGCATGCTAGTCATCTCCATGACTCTGGTCTCTGGACTCCAACTCCAAGGATGACTTGACGACCAATGCACATTATGGCCCAGGAAACCAGAGAGGGAGAGCATGTCACCTTGCAGAGCAAGGCCAGGGCCCTGCTGCATCACCTGCACATACAGCAGCCGCTCCAGCCGCTCCTGATCCAGCTGCAGCTTCTCCTCCCGCCGCCGGGCATTGAGCTCTTGGAGCCGTCGAAGCTGCTGCTGCCGCCGCTCCTGCTTCTCCTCAGCCGTCAGTGTGCTGCCCAGGAGCTTGTTAGAGAATGGGAGCTGCATCTTGTGGACATTGTTCTCATAGTAATCAGGACACCGCCACTTCTGCAATTCTTCAAAGAAATGGTTGGAGGACTTCAGAGAGTGAAAGCCTAGTTAGCAGTGAAACAGAAAGCCAACGCCACGCACAAGTGACACCAAGCACACTCAGAACTAAATGCAGCCGTAAAACCTGGGCATACACAGACCTACTTTGAGGGTCTCCAGACGGAAGTCACACAAAAAGGAAGTTGAAACAGCCAGAGTGACGGAAAAGCTGTTAAACACAGGAGGCTAAGTGCCTCAGGAGTCACTTAACACATGTTCGCTAACTTGAACTAAAAATAATAAAAACATTGTGGTCTGATGGGCTCCCACAGCTAACAGGTCTAGCATGTAAGACATTTTGACATAAAGCATAAAGAAGTCTACTGCTACCATTCTACCCAGAAATGATCAATACTGACTCTACAGAGATGAGGAAAAGTTACACTCTGTTCTATTCCCTAGGGTTACCACCTAAAAAATACAGTCTAGCCTAGTGTGGTGACACAGACTTTACTTCCACCTTTTGGTTCAAGGATCTCTCAGTTCAAAGCAAGCTTGGACCATATAAGGAGCTCTAGGCCAGGCAGAGCTGCACATGAGACCCTGCCTCAAAAGTAAAATAGAAATTCAATAACCTAAAAGGCAGAGAGAAAAATAAAAAATAAAATAGTAGCCCTAAATTCAAACACAAACACATGAACAGGCTGCTGCTGAGGAACACAAGGCCCGAAGGCCCTGCCTGGCGGAACAAAAGAGTAACAGGCGACTAGTATACTGCAACCGCTACAAGCTCATCTGAACTACACTGATACAGAACAGAGCTAAAGGGATACCAGCAGGGAGTGGTGGTGCCTGCCCCTAATCCTAGCACTTGAGAAATAGAGGCAGGAGTAGTAAGAGTTTGAAGCTACCCTCAGATATTCAGGGAGTTTTGAGGATAGCCTGAGCACATGTAACCCTGCTGCTAAATAAATAAATAAATGGAAAGAAATACCATATAAACCCTATCCAAAAGAAAGCTGAATTGGCTTTAATTATTTAGAGACAGGATCTCACTATGTAGCCCTGGCTGTCTCAAACTTACTAATAAACCAGGCTGGCCTCAAACTCAAAAGATCCATTTGCATCTGCCTCCCTAGGACTGGGATTGAAAGTGCATCTCACCACACCCTGGTGGAGTGACTCTTAGTGTTCAAGTAGCCTTCAAAGCAGAAAAATAAACTTGATAGAATAAGAAGGACAGGACACCATACAATGACAAAAGGTTAACGGACAAGAAGATATAACAATGCTAAACTATGTAGCTAACAAGACAAAGTCAGATAACAAACAGTACACACTAACAGGTCTGGGCTGGGAACACAGCTCAGAAATAGAGTGCTTGCCTGACATTGTAAAGTCTGGTCCTCAGTTTAAAAACAAAAACAAAAAACAGCAACAACAACAACAAAAAAAAAACCAGGGATACCCACAATTACACCTAATGACATCAGTATACTCTTCCCGTTATCAGCAGAGCCCGTAGAAGGAAGGTGATACAAAGGCTATAGAGCGTTGACCTCCGTCACCAGCAGACACTTGAACACCCTACCCATGGAGCACAGTAAATGCCCTTCAGGTGTATAAGAAACCTCTGCCAAGTATGACTACATGGGGGGTCATACAATAAACAAGTTTAGCAGACATCAAACAAAGTCAGCATAATGGAATTAAACCAAAGATAAACCACAGAAAGGTGTCTTGTAACATACTTCTAAACAATCACTTTAAGAAGCAGTCTTGAAAAAAAACAAGAAAATATTTTTAAACTCAATAAAAATGAAAATGTATCAAATTCATGGAAAGCAGACACAGCAGCAATGTTGAAAAGAGAAATCCATAGAATTAAATGCTGTTGGTGCAGGAATAATTTTGCTTGCATGTCTGTGTACCACATGCATGTAATGTTCATGGGAGCCACAAGAGGGCATCAGATCCTCTGGGTTTGCAGTGACACATTTGTGAGCCAGGAATGCATAATTACATAGTGAGACACTGTCTCATAAACAAAAGAGAGGAAAAAAAAAGAGGTTAAGGCCAAGTATATCAAGGAAGGAAACCCACAAACTTTCTTTCCATGCCTATCTCCCTAACTTCTTTGTGCTTCATAAAGGTGCTTAAAACAAAGGTGTTTTGAAGTCACAGCTGAGCCATGAAATTGAGAAACTGAGGCAGGGGAGTCGGGAGTTTGCTGTCAAGATGGGGCTACATGGGAAGACTGTCCAAACAGATAGATAGATAGATAGATAGATAGATAGATAGATAGATAGATAGATAGATAGACAGACAGACAGACAGACAGGGAGGGAGGGAGGGAGGGAGGGAGGGAGGGAGGGAGGGAGGAAGGAAGGAAGGAAGGAAGGAAGGAAGGAAGGAAGGAAGGAAGGAAGGAAGGAAGGAAGGAAGGAAGGAAGGCAGATGGTAAATTTTATGCTCTATGGTTTTTATCATAATTACACTTGGTTGTGCTTGGTTTTTTATCTTTGTCTAGTTGCATGTTAAGGATACTGTGCACATGCCTGGTGCCCACGGAGGCCTGAGGAGGTAATGAGCCACTGTGTGGGTGCTCCACACCGAACCCAGGTCCTCTGCAAGAGCAGCAAGGGCTCGGGGCCATCTCTCCACCGTCCAGCTGGTTTCTTTTCAAACAGGGTCTCATACAGTCTATGCTGGCCTCAAACTCACGGGAGGCAAAGACGGCCTTGCATATCTGATCTCCTACCTCTACCCACAAGTGTGCTGGGATCATGAGTCTGCTTCATGTGTCTGATTCATTCTAAGCTAGGGTCAGACTCGAGGACAGCAAGTCCTCTACAACTGAGCGAGAGCCCAGTCAAAGTCTTTTTTTTTTAACGTGTGTGTGTGTGTGTGTGTGTGTGTGTGTGTGTGTGTGTGTGTGTGTGTACATACATGGTAGGTTCTCTCTTTCCACCCTGTAGGTTCTTGAAGCAAGCACACTTGCCCAATGAGCCATCTCACAGGATTGTTTTCAAAGATGTCACATCCGGGTGTGGGCAGTACTCTTGTGACCTTTTAGCACTCTGCCCTTAGAATACACTAAGTGAGCTTTCTATTCAAAGAATACAAACCAAATAAAGGCATTATATTACTTTTGTCTTTCCAAAGCTCAGCAGTGGTTGGCTGAAGGCCAGTACCTTTAATGACCACTGTGGCAAAGAACTGCCTCACAGTGCTACTAACCAACATTCTTGGGTTTTATCTGGATCATTTACATTTGTAAGGAAGACATCATTACATCTGTGTGATAGCAATAGTAACCAAAAGTACCTCAAAGTAAAGTACAATCAGAAGCTCAAAATGCTTAGAGGTCAGGAACATCAGGATCTGAGGCTACACTCAAGTAGTGGATATGGAAATATATATATATATATATTTCAAGATATGTTGAAACCTGAGAGGTATTCGGACATCCCTCTTATGATGTTAGGAAACGCAATTTCAATTGGCCTTAGACTTTTGTTTTTGTTTTGTCAAGACAGGGTTTCTGTGTAGCCCTGGCTGTCATGGAATTCACTCTATGGACCTGGCTGGCTTTGAACTCAGAGATCCACCAGCCTGTGTCTTCTGAGTACTGGGATTAAAGGCATGTGCCACCACACCCAGCTGGTCTCTAACTTTTTAAACTGGCACATTGTGCTCCCTCTCTCAAAAATGTTAACTTTTAAAAGAAGCTGAAAGTTATACTGGAGGCACATTATAAAAGCTATGGTGTGGCCTGGCGGTGGTGGCGCACGCCTTTAATCCCAGCACTCAGGAGGCAGAGGCAGGCTCCAAAACAATACAGAGAAACCCTGTCTCGAGAAACAAAAAAAAAAAAAAAAAAAAAAAAAAAAGCTATGATGTGTGAAGGGAACCTGATTGTGACAATTACTTTACCGACCGACTAATCTCACAAAGAGAACACCAAAGGGGAGAGGGACGCTGAGCAGACAAGGGTCACACTGGTAACAATGTGAAGAACCTTCGGAGGCTAACGGAGATGAAACCAGAGCAAGGTCCCCTGCATCACCTGCCCCGTAGTCCTCGGCAATGTAGCTGTGCTCCTGTAGGATCTCCTCCATGCGGCTGAGGGTGATGGCTGCCAGGTGCCCCGGATACTTGAGCTGCAGAAGCCGCTGCAGGTAGCCAGCCGCCTGACTTCCTCCAAGATTGATGCGTTTGCAGTTTTTGGCATCTAGCCTACACCAAAGCAGTACAGAAAAACACTGAAAGTCTGTCCAGCATGAAAGGTATAGAACTCTTGGGGACAGCAGGGGAACTTAATGCAGACAATGCAGCGACTAGCAGAGGGTCTGGGCACCTAAAACCCCACATCAGGAAGATTCCCTTCCAAAGGCCAGAATTCCTACTGCCTTTAACATCTGGTCAGAGTCTCAGAGTCTCATGGTGGGCACGCCTTTAATCCCAGAACTCTGGAGGCAGAGGCAGGAACATCTCTTCTAAATCCCAGCCTAGTCTACATAGTGAGTTCCAGGATAGCCAGGGCTATGTAGAGAGACCTTGTCTCCAATCCCAGCCTAGTCTGCAGAGCAAGTGCCAGGACAGCCAAGTCTACACAAAGAAACCCTGTCTCAAAAAACAAAAACCAAAACAAAGACTCCAGAATACCAAAATGGTCTAAATTAAATGTCTTCAGGAGACAGAGATGGTTCCAAGGGTAAAGGTACTGATTGTAAAGGCTGAGGGATTTGAGCTCAATCCCTGGGACCCACATGGTGCATAGAACAAATGTACTTATACTGACCTCTGACCTCCTTGTTCCTGCCAAGTACTCTCAGGTCCACATACACGAACACAAAATTATTTGTTTGTTTTTTGAGACAGAGTTTCTCTGTGTAGCCTTGGCTGGCTTTCAACTCACAGAGATCCACCTGCCTCTGCCTCCCAAGTATGAGGATTAAAGGCATGTGCTACCATTGCTGGATTAAAGAGAGAAATAAACATATTCAAATAACTTACTCAAGCCGAGTGTTGGTGGCACATGCCTTTAATCCCAGCACTCAGGACGTAGAGGCAGGTAGAGCTCTGTGAGATCGAGGCCAGCCTGGTCTACAGAGCGAGTTCCAGGACAGGCTCCAAAACAATACAGAGAAACCCTGTCTTGAGAAAAAAAAATTATTCAAAATATGTTTATTGAATGTCTACTATGGATAGGTACTATGTTAACTATTCCCCTGTAACTCAGAATTATAAAATTATATAACTGTCAAGTAGACATGGAACCCACTTGAACTACCTTCAGGAGGTCCTAAAGGACGGGTAAAATAAGTTATGAAGTCACACACTGATGTAGGTCTGGCTAAGCCCAGTTCAGTCCATCATCCAGCACTTGCCAGACGTTCCCAATAGGTACCTAGACACTCCGGTTTCCCAGTAGGCCCTAAATCAGTGCCCCTTGAAGGCCACAAGCACAACTCACCTTCCTTCTAAGATGGGTAAAATGTGTGTACACTGGTAGCCAGATGAAATGATGAGGCCGCTGGAAAGGGCGTTCTTGGGCATGTTGTGGTAGAAGCTGAAGAGGCTGTCTATCCCATAGGCAACTTTGGGGATCCTATAGCATTCAAAAAGGAGCTCCGACATCATTTGGCGGGAATAGAGAGGGTTGCACACAGCCTCTGTCAAAACTATGGGATGATCAACACAGCCCTACTTTGAAAGAGAAGCACAAATAGATGAATGACAACAGAATATGTATGAAATGCAAAAGTAACCCAAATCCCTGTTGCAAGACTGAATTTGCTTTGTATCTCTAATTAAAAACCTAATGGGGAGCAGCTGGAGAGAGAGGTAGCCCTGGACCCAAGTTTGTTTTCCCAGCACCCTCTTCAGGTCCACTCGGAACCACCTGACTCCAGCAGCAGAAGTTCCAAGGTCAAGGTCTAAGGCACCTACACTTGTACACAAATACACTCGCACATACAATTTTGAAATAAATCTTTACAAAGGTGATCAAAAGCAATTATAAAGCATACATTTCAATTTTGGAAAGCATTAATGTATGGTCAATTTAAGTTTTTTGTTTGGGATTGTTTTTGTTTGTTTCTTGGGATAGGGTGTGTGTGTGTGTGTAACTGCCCTGACAGTCCTTGAACTCTGCCTCCAGAGAGCTGGGATTAAAGGCGTGCACCACTATTTCAGGCTCCATGCAAGCTTATTAGGTCAAGCTTTGGCCAAACTGCTAATAAATCATGTGGGCTCTATCTCCAAAATACTTCCAGGATCGGACTGGTTCTTGTCAACCCATCTCTCACTTGGCTACTGCAAAGGTCTAACTGGTCCCTTGTTTCCATGACAGTCCACTCACTGGACGGTAAAGACACCGTGGTCCCCGCACTGGTATACCCTTAACACCCTTAACTCCTAGCACAGGGCAGACACGGGTGAAGCGTTTAGTGGAAGGACTGCCTGGAGTGACGCCCCGCCCAGCCCGCCCTCACCTGCGAGGAGACGCCCAAGTGCTGGAAGCTGTAGTCCAGCAGCAGTTCCTGCAGCTCCAGGTTGACCGGCACGTTGCGGTCGAAGGGGGAGCGCAGCATCCAACGCAGCGGCTCCAGGCTGCCCAGCGCGTTGCCCACCTGCGGCCCCGACCCGCCTCGCGCTCCGCCACGGCCGCGAGCGCACACGGCGCGGAACTGCAGGCGCGGCTCAGGGCCCGGGTCCGGCCCGGGGCACGCCCACCCGGCGCGAGCCTGGAATGATCCGTTGTCCAGCACCAGCGGCACCGGCTGCGAGCCAAAGGCTACCGGCTCGGCCTCCAGCACCGGATCCGGAGCGGCGCGGGCATCTCGAAACCGGAACACATTCGCCTCCATGTTGGCCAGCACCGGCCTCACTCCGACGCCGCATGCGCCACGAAGCTCCGCCCCCGTCTGAGTCCTGGGCCCCGAAGTATCTGGAAGCCTCTTCCTTACGTGAGGACTCGCTGGTTTCTGCACCTGATTCGTTCCTGGTGATCCAGACCCTTACGTGGCCCTCTAAGCCCTGTTGGTCCCCGCCGCGAGTCCCACACCTGGTCTAACTCGTCCCCGAAGTCCTCCGTGTGGCCACGCCTCCTCATGCTAACTGGCTGGCCAGGAGCTCCGCCCCAGTTCTGAGCCGTGGGGCCTCTGCGTGACCACGCCCCTTGCGCTAACTGCAGCCCAAGGCTCCTCCCTCACCTGGCTGGACTCCGCCCCTCCCTAGCCCATAGCCTAGTCATTGGGCCACCTCACCTTGCTGATCTAGTCCTTAGCTTTATGATCTTTGCCTTTGACTCTCCCCACAGGCTGTCCTCGCAGGAAGACCTCAAATATTGAGAAAAGAGCTATTAATTATTGACTGATATGTTACATATAAATGTACTTTCCCTTCTTTGACTGGTTTAACTCTCCCATGTGGTCATCTCATTAAATGTAACCTTTTCTGTCAAGCAGGGTGGGAGTAATTACCAGTTTTAAGAGAAAAGCACCAGGCTGGGCGTTGGTGGCGCACGCCTTTAATCCCAGCACTTGGGAGGCAGAGGCAGGCGGATCTCTGTGAGTTCGAGGCCAGCCTGGTCTACAAAGTGAGTTCCAGGACAGCCTCCAAAGCCACAGAGAAACCCTGTCTCGAAAAACCAAAAAAAGAGAGAGAGAGAAAAGCACCAGGCACGCTCCTTTTGCCTGTGTTCCTCTTTCTGAGAGTTAAGGGGGTCCCATCATTTTAAGGACCTCACAGCTGTGCTTTTTGCTAACTGAACCCCAAACTCTCCACCCATTGTCTACACATCCCTCAATTATTTCACTCACATAAAACAGGTTAAGGTGAAGTGCCATTGTTAGTGCACACCTGTAATCCCAGCACTTGGAAGGTAGAGGTAAGGAGTTCCAGACCAGCCTCATCTGCCTACTGAGTTCAAAGCCAGCCTCGGCTACATAATACCTTTTCAAAATAAAAACAAGCCACTTAATACACAGTAAATCACGGAAGTGTTTCTGCTTCCTTGAGAAGTCTCCGAGCAGCCTGCCAGAGCCTGGTTAGAGGCCCCTGTGGCTACAGCACAGCTGTCATTCTGAGCTCTCGCTTTCCCATCACGTCATGGTTCATTGGATGTTCATCCCATCTCTGTCTCCTGTACGATTTGTCTTAGTTACTCCCTCTGCTTCCTAACTTTTTTTTAGGGGGATGGATGTTTTCTTTAGTTTTTGTGGGGAATTGGGGGTTGATTTGGTTGAGTGGTTTTCCATTTTTTGTTTTTGTTTTTAGTCAGGTCGTATATCTCATGCAGGTCTCAAACACAAACACAGAGAGAGAGAGAGAGAGAGAGAGAGAGAGAGAGAGAGAGAGAGAGAGAGAGAGCGCAGCTTACTCCTTTGTTTTGTGGTGTATGCTCTAGCAGCTTCTGGAATATAACAGAGGGTATGAAGGGTAACATTTTTTGAGATTGGATCAAATGTTTTTATTTTATCCCATTGCCTGATTGACCATTTGGTTGAATTCCTGCCAGGAAGAGAGCTCCATCCTAGAAGGTTGCCCTCAAAGGCTGCTGGCTACCCCCGCCTCTGGTTTCTGGTTTCTGGAACTGTTTGTTTGAGGGTTGGACATCCTGATTACCACCCCAAACTTCTTATGTTTCTTTCCTCTTTCCTCAAGCAAGTATTTATGTGATGACTACACTAGTTTTCAGTTTTCTTAATTGCTGTATTTTCTTTCTTTTTTTAAGCTTAGCTCCACATTTTAAAGGTCGTTTCATGTTACATGACATTTTAAGAAACTGGTAGCCACCCACTGTGTGACACATACCTGTAATCCCAGCACCCGGGCTGTGGAGTCAAGAGGATCTAGACTAGATCCTGGAGTTCATGTTCAGACTGAGCTACACAGGGGGTTGGAACCAGCCTGGGTTATCTGAGGTCCTGTCCCGCCAAAATGTTTTTAGCACCTTTAAAAAGAAAGATAAGTAAAAAGAGGGCCAGCAAGATGGTGAAACAGTTAAAGGCACCTACACCCTGACAATCCAAGTTTCATCTCCAAGTCCCACAGGGTAGATGAAGAGAACTGATTCCTACAAGCTGTCATCGACCTCCACACGCACACTGTGGCTTGCAAACACACACACACACATTCACACACATACACACATTCACACACTCACACACACTCACACACATTCACACACACACATTCACACACACATACACACATTCACACACACACTCACACACATACACTCTCACACATTCACACACTCACACACATACTCACACTCACACATTCACACACTCACACTCTCACACATTCACTCACACACACTCACACACTCTCTCACACCCACACACAGATTGGGGGAGAGAGAGTTGAAGCTAAGCACAGTATTGCTGAAACCCAGATGCGCCTTGTTTCATTCTTGGGTCATCACCCATGCTCCCCACTTTCCAGGAAAAGCTCCAATTGCTTGTACACCCATAGGTGCCTGCAGGTTTGACTGATATTGGCTCAAATTCCCCTGGCCCTTACTTCTGTTTCCTTACTGAAAACCTCCCACAGTCATTCTCTTTCCTGCCCAGAATCTCCCAGTTTTCCTGAAAGTGCCTGGGTGACATTCCAGATGTGTCTGCCAACAACTCTTCTCCCACAATCCTTGAAGCACTTTTGCCATCAGTAGTTCTCAACTTTCCTAATGTTACAACCCTTCTATACAGTTCCTCATCTCCACACAATCATTAAATTATTTCACTGCTACCTCCTAACTCTAATTTTTCTACTGTCATGAATTGTAATGTAAGTATTTGATATGCAACCCCATAGGGGTTTCCACCCACAGGTTGAGAACCACTGCCTCATGGAGAATTCTGTACCAGCACTATTATTCTTTTGTTTTGTTTTGTTTTGGTTTTATGAGACAGGGTTTCTCTATATTGTTTTGGAGGCTGTCGGTCCAGCCCGGCCTCGAACTCACAGAGATCCGCCTGCCTCTGCCTCCCGAGTGCTGGGATTAAAGGTGTGCGCCACCACCGCCCGGCTCAGCACTATTATTCAGATGCTTGCTCCTCTTTAATATTTGTTGTTCGGAGCTCCGAGCCAGCTTGACTTGCCATCTGCTGATAACAGGGACTTAGGTTTAACAGCTTTGTGCTTAACAACTTGGTGTTTTTCTAAATAGCCCTTCTTCCTAGGGCCAGCCACACACTGTTTTCTAGAACCATCCAGTGCCATGTTGATTTTAGACTGTCCCCACTCCACACCTTCCTCTCCTGCTGTCTATCTCCTGAGAATCATTTCTCTGCCAGGAGGCTCCCTCTCGACCTCATGCAAATCAGCTAGTCACGGTCCACTACCAGGATTCTTAGCCAGAAGCCTGGCCAGGGCATGCGCATCACCTGTGGGAGAGTGGTTGGTCCATCTGGGTTGGGAGATCAGCAGCACCTTCAAAGGTTCACACAGTGTGATGTTAGACAGCAGATGCTGCCCCTGTAGAGGACACACAGCACACCTTATAGCCTTTCATTCTAGAACCTTCCCTAAAGCTTCTGAACTTCTGGCATGTAGCAAGCCCCTGAATCACCACCTTATACATTAGTACCTTCATTAACATGAACTCAGAGACCTCTCCCAACATCTCTAAAGTAAGGAATTTCCTTTACTCTGTGGGTTGGTGTTAGATCTCCTATCCCAGCTTCTCCCATGGTGAGTAGCTACTGTTACTAAAAGCTACTTGATGCTGAGGGGTTCCTTGAATTCCCAGTTGCCATTGGGAACCCCATGAGCTTGAAGCCAAATGATCTGGCTCTCATTTTAGTCTTGGGGGCCTTGCCAACGCCTCTGTAACAAATGCCACTAGAGCCTTGGAAGATTCTGCTAGGCATGGTCACCAAGCACAGCAGCACTTTGGCTCCTTACTGTGGATGCCTGGGCTCAGTCTAACAGCTTTACAGGAAGTTCCGGGTAACTACCACAGCTTCCCAGAACCTCCAGCTGGTGGAGGTTCAATGATGACAATTCACACCCTCTGCTCCCCCAGTATGCTCACTGGGGAGCCTCTGTGCCTTCCAGTGAACTGAGCTCCAAGTTGGCAAAGGAGCATAACTGCCTGTGATGGCCTGTGAGCTGATGTTCATTCTCTGTCCCCCACTTCTCTGCTGTGCCATCAGTCTCCCGAGTATTGGCTCCCACGCGTTCTGCCCCATTCAGAGACTTCTGATGTGGCCCCTGGGTCCTGGTCTATTGCAGGGACTCCCCAGCTGCAGACAGCCACGCTCCCTGTGCACTTGAGCTGCCCTTCTTTTCATCCCCTCTCCCTCGTTTCTGTGCATTCTTCTCCCTGCTCAGCACCCCCTTCAGAGCCAGCAGAACACCCCAGTGCCTGACCCACTGCTTTCTCAGAAGCTTCTTATGTTTCTTTACCTCTAGGACTCAGGGACAAAGGATGTCCACACCGCCGTGCCTATCCCAAGATGACGTTTGTTCAGAGAAAAGAACAATTCCACAAAAGTAAACCCTGAGACAAAGACTCAGGTGCACTTAATTTATTTAGGAGACTCCAGGTAGTGTAGTGAGGAAACAGAGAAGACAGAGGGAGTCAGATAAAGTATGTCTGATGAGCCAGCAGACCCCCCTGGGATATCCTTATGGGACAGGCCTCAAGCCATCCCATCAGAGGACCAGAGACAGGAATCTCCGTTGAAGCCTGCTTCAGTTCCAGCACAACGGCCTCCTCTGCCTCCCAGTCTACTCTTCACCAATCTCTACGCTTCTTCCTTTGCCTAATCTCTAGATATTATCACCCAAGAGCCCTAGCCCAGGACTTTGTTGGTTTTTACATACTTCACTGGCTGGTCACATATTTGTTTTCCTGTATGTCTGAAATATCAATGTGCTGGTAATCTTTGTAAATATATGGCTCTATCTATTAATTTATAAGACATATTTAGGAAAATTCTGTGAGACCTGTGTTAGTGAAGATGTAGTAGGGAGCTGACTGCCCTGGCAATTGTCTATGCTTAAAGATTGTCACCGTGAGCCGGGTGTGGTGGCACATACCTGTTATTCCAGTATTCAAGATGTAGAGGGAGGGTGAGTTCAAGGCTAGCCTTGGCCACATAGCAAGTTTAAGCCAGCCTAGACTAGGTGAGATTCTGTTTCAAATACTAAACAAACCAGGTGTGGTGGTGTATTCCATTAATTCCAGCATAAGTAGGGGGATATCTTTGAATTCAAAGCCAGCCTGGTCTACAT